TAGGATGTGAAGGAGAGCAGAGATAGAAATGTAGCACTTGAATCCAGGTGATACACAATAATTTCTTCGTTTGTTTGTACGGAATTAATTAGGATGTGAAGGAGAGCAGAGACAAAAATGTAGGGGCACTTCTGGATTAGTACAAAATTTGTCAGAAAGTCACAAAGAATCAAATAACAAGTGGAAATATACTAGAAATAATGATACGTAAACAATGAAACTATTTTTTACAACTGGCTCAAAACTAACATTAGAAATAAAGAAGGAGAAAAATAACAAAAACATACCCGTTAGTATTGTCGATGAACGTTATATACAAATACAAAGTTTCAACCTTATAAGAAGACAAATATACATTGCTGCTGTTGCAACATAAAATTTCCAATTCTCTCAAATAAACAGTTAAATTTATATATGAACACTGCAATAATATACTTGAGAAAATTTATCATGTTAACATTTTGTTGTAGAAATTATCTATGAAAGTCGCATAATTCTGAACAATAAATTTCTTACTATCGTTAAAGAATCCCTATTAAATTTTGGTGCAACAGTTCAAGCCGACAACTTCCCTGATTATTTTATGTATTACTGTTTACAGGCCCATAAACATTCAGTAAATTATATACAAAAATATTTTAACTAGAAAGAAGTGCAAAAAAATAATGAAATGCTTAAAAAAGATTAAAAAGGGGGATAATTTAATGCCGGGAAATATTTCTTGAATTAATAATCTTAGTGAAAAAAACTTATGCTTTCATGCAATAACCAAAACAAAACATCAGAAACAATCTTTGTAACATATAACAAACACTTATCATAGCAGCTATGTGCTACAGTGAAAACTTAATACACAGACTAAAAAATAACCTGGATGACTGACTGGTCAAGGTTTTCTTTATATCCGTAAGTTGACCTTTGTTATAATGCAAAAATAAAATGTTTTATTATAACAGAAGGTATATTTCAAATGAAACCTCCAGAGACAATTAATATAAAAAAATGATCAAAGATTTCAGTTGATTAAGCATGCCTCTCAGCATAGCTGTCTAAACCTAAAAAAACACTTTAGGTATAAATGTAAAAACGAGTTTCAGAATGTATTCTTGATATTATTGTTGAGCTTATTATCAAGAAACTGACTAGAACTTACAAAACACTTGATGATCAGAATGTAGTTGGCAGGAAGAATTCTGTATAGTGGACGTGTTGAAACTGGAATAAATGCACGTTTCTCAATAAAAAAAAAAAACCTTCTATGTCACTTCTTCACCATTCATGTGAGGAAAATCTTCAAACTGAAATGAAAAACAGTTATAGTCGTGAAAAAAAATAAAAAGGATTTTTTTAAATAAAATTTGGTGGTTCCACATACAGTCTGAAACTAGTTAGTAATGCACTACAGAGTAAACATTTTCTTCTGCATATTGCAGATTGTCATAGGTGCCGAATGTATATCTTTCCCATTAAAGGAATGCCTAGTTATAAATATAGTAAACATTCCAGTCATGAGAGAAGAAGAACATGCAAATATTTTCTTGAATTATATAGTTAGAAGTGCAAGTAAATAATAATGTCCAGAAGCTAGAAACAACAGGTTAATATATAAAAGTTTTCATGGAAAGACTCGAAAGATTAATGCAAGTAAAAGGTTCAAATAGAACCAGAGTAAGAGTTTGAAGAACAGTTGAAATGTTGTGTTGCAAGAGCCTGTAAGAAGTGAAAGAGTAAAACACGTACTGAAAGGTAAGAGAATCCATGTAACTATGGGGTTAAAGGAGACAGAGCAAGAGCATGGTGTCACAATAAAAATGAAGGAAAAAAAATCATACATATTGATAAAAAAAAACAATCTGAAAAGAAAAAGTACGACAAGAAAGGGCTTAATGTAAGCACTGAGCTACTTTAATAGCTAATTACACTTAACTAGTGTGGTATTCTCAGGACAACTGATTATTATTATTATATAATAACAGCAGGATCAAACAGGAAATTTTAGTTATCCGAATTTTAAAAAAAATCAACTGAGTTTTAAGCTGCATGAGAAATAAACATACTGGGCATGTTTGAAAAAAGTTAAAACAATCTTTATCTGTGACTTAAAACAGTGTGCGTATTTATGTAGACAAAAGGATTATCATGGCTACTAGAACTAGTCATGTTGAAAAACCAAGTAAAACTGAGAATACAGGTTCTGATCTAGCAAGAAACCTAGTAGTAGCCTTTCTCTTACAAAAGTATCACCACATGAATGGTCAGTCTCTCAATGAATTCCTTAACTGTAACTTACAGACATCATCCACTCAACCAGCAAAGGATGTTGCAGTCCTAAACCCTTTTAACAGGGATGTACCTCAATATCCCCTTGAGCAGAGTAGATATTATCTGCTATAGACATAAAAGCAATTAGAACAAAACAACTTCCCCAGAGTTTTCTGGACCACAGGTTTATGCCACAACTGCATAGAATCAAACTAAAGAAAATTTAAAAGAAAACGTATGATATGCCTACATATCACACAATCATAGATCATAAGATGGAGAAGACATAATAAACAAATAATGAGATGTATAGTTATTACAAAAAACAAACTCCAGATAGAAAAAAGTCACATATTTCGAGGAAGAAGAGAAGAGAACCAAGGTTAAGCAGAACCTAGAAAAAAGGTGGAATGAACAACATCCAGAATCCTGGATGTGAGATAAAAAGGTAAGCAAAAAGAAAAAAGTTGGAAAATGACACACTAGAACTAAAGACCAAATGACAATAACTCCAAGGGGCAAGTATTGTGGGATTGTAAGCTTCGCTGTCAATTGATATAGAAATAACAGCAGGTTTATGTAAGCAAAACTTTATCACAAGACCCAAAAGGAAATTGTAGAAACTTTCACAAAAGCCAATAATTCCAAGTAATTAAGATGTGTGTGGAAATCTCCAACCAGGAACATACAGTAAAGATGTTGTGAAAATCCAAGATTGTACAATAAGCAGGGAGAGAAACATCTGTGATGAGCAGTGCCATGTCTAGGTGCCTGTTCCATCAGGGAATGAATAAAAAAAGGTACCTACCAATACCAGAAACAGTCGAAAAGAAGAAATAGAGGTTTTTAACTTCCCACAAAGTTTGTCGGAGATATATTAAATTAGGGTCAAAATAACGAGAAAATGAGACAATTTCTACATAATGAAAACAGACATCCACTTTCAAATCAGAGCTTATCCAAAAGATCAAGAGGTAAAGGATGTTGCAATAATATTTTTTTAACAAAAAAAACAAGTTTAATATCTCTTTTATGTGTGAACAATCTGAAGAAGATATTTATTTGTCAGAATGAGAGATCTCTGATCCTAGCAGAACTTGAACTTCAAGGAAAAAAACAAAACAAATAAGTTAAACGAAAGAAACAGGAAAAATAATGCGTAAGTAGGATACAAAAGATCAAAGGAGGAAAATTAAAGATTAAATCTCAAACTTGGCCAAAAAAGTACAGAATGAAAAGCTTTCAGAAAAATGATCCTCTGCAGTTGAAAATTGAAAGGAGAGATTTTATCACTCATATACGTGCAGATGAAAAAAAAGTTTCATAAAATATCAGAATGTTTTTAATTAGTGCAAAGTAGAAAAACTTAGATCCATGAGGTCATAGGTTCAGAAAAACATTTTAAGCTATAGTACTATACATAGCTATAGCCTCACTATTATATACATTGTTTTGTATTTAATTAAATCTCATTATTCTGTATCCAGTTATCAAATTGTCATAATATACAGTTTGTTCTGTGACTACTTGTTTGTTCTTTAAAACTTACATAAAAGTTTCTATAATGTTATCCTTTTCCAACACCGAAAATGTATTTCCAATAGATACTTACCTCCACTCACATATAAGCTTTTACCTATTTTGTGCTGCCCTCTGTATGTGCAACTTTTTTGTTTGCTACTACCCTCAAGGCTCTCACCTAAACTCACATGTTTTCACATGCTACTGCTGTGTTGTAGCATGCAAAGGAACATGTGATAAGAAATGTGACACACTCTCCTAGTGCAGCAGACTCTTTCTATACTGATTGTTCAATCATCACTTTGAGATTAGGCAAGAAAGATTCACAGAAATTGGGGAGGACAGTTGGGAAGTGTAAGGTGAAGTAAGTATCTATCAGAAATACATTTTCAGTGTTGGAAAATGTTAACTTTCAATACAGTATCTTACCTCTTCTCATGTGTTAGCTAGAATCCTACAATAAAGTGGTGGAGGGGCCAGTGCAAAAGTTACCTAGATGAGTCCCCTTTGGAAGCACCTGGAGAGAGAACCCATGGAGCATGACACTCTTTACCAAAAAGAGGATAGGGGCACAACTGTGGATGACTGCACCCCTTCTGCACTAGGGTATACTCTTCACCCATAATGAAGATATGTATTACTAAGTCAGGTGGAAAATAAGCACAGTCCAGAATCACATTATGGAATATGGATGTGCTATATGGTGTAGTATAGAGAGAGTATGACAGACCATACATGATGGGTCAATTCCAGCCAAAAACCAGGAGGCATTGGGTATGTTTCATCTGGTCTATGGTAGGAGGACAATCACAACAAACTTCTGTTCCACTGTTCTAGGTAGTGCTCATGTGTGCTAACCTTGCACACATCCCACACCAGGCCACCTGACAACCAGAAAATGGGGGAAAGCATCCATGGTGGGTCAACCCCAGTCCAAAACCAGATATTGTTAGGTATTTTTAGCCCAGTCTACAGTAGGAGGAGGGACACTACCAACCACATGTGTGATAACTTATGTTGGCTGGTTCTATGCCTATCTAACACCAGATTCCCTGGAAACCAACATTGAGGCAGCAGTAGAATGGGGAAAAACCAGCCAGAGAGGTAAACATGGTGGGACATTTCCAGTCCCAAACCAATCGGTATCAGGAATTTGTCACCTGTTCCACAATAGGAGGAGGTTTCAACCATCTACACCAACAGAACACCACCATCCTACTCTCAAGTGAGTGGAATTGTCACACTCAGGAGGAAGCCTCTTATGGTACACCACCCCAGCAACTAGGAACTGGTGAGTGGCAAGGACTCCTGTACTTCACTTGAAAGAAGGGGGTAGAAGCAAACTGGGGAGCCCAAACAAATGTAACATCTTAAGATGCTGAAATAGAGGACCATAAAATCCTATTTTTAAAAGCAGGCCAGTCCCAGTTTATTCAACTAAGACTGGACAAATGGACAGCTATTCCAACACTGCTTTACTCACGATAGTCCATGAGTAGGTACAGTCTGGATTATACCAGGAGGAAACCTCTAAAGGTCTTGTGGAACATCTTATCTCATCAGTGAGGATTACAGATCCTAATGGCTGTACACCCTGGCAGGCACCATATGCCACTCAGCAGAATCCTGAGATATAGAATATGGCCCCTGTAAAGATAAGAAATAAATAAAAAGAACTTACCCAGTCAAAGCCAGTAAGAGCTATGGAGAATGGTGATGGAAGGAAGTAAATATCTCAATGAAGAAAAGATGGCCAGAGGGTGAAGATAACGTGCAATGATAGTATGCAGGATACACCACAAACCAGCCTGCACGATTTCCAATGGATGATGGACATGAGCAGCCAGGGAGAGACAAAGGTACCTAATTTAGTGAGAGGAAACTTGAAAAAGTCAAGGAGAATCCACATCCAAAGAAGTATAGATTAGACAGATGAGCCGCTAGAGCCAACCTGTGAGGGTAATGGGAGAAAGATCTCGGGCAGAAGAATAGTTCTAAGGAATAAAGAGATGGGAGCGGGAAGTTCAAAAAGGTGCAATGCGGGTCAAGTAACAGCAAACTTCACACATGTTATAGAGAAGAAGATTAGAATCCAAATAGGAATAAGGGTGAGAAATGGACAGAAGGGAGATAGAGGTGAATGAACCGTCCCCCTCACGGGTCATAGGCATTTTGGGGAGAACTGCATGATCAGGATAAAGAAGAATATAAGAATGATGGAAAAGAACATGGGAAGCATCAAGGTACAATGAACAAGAGGTCAAAGATTCAACGGGAGGAAGGGTAAGGGCATGTTCAAAAATGTTTAGGTCACAATCAGGAAGGATGTCAGGACATACAGGACAAAGAAGGCAAAAGAACAAAAAGGTCAGGCAAGGAGAAGACACGATGAGAACAGGAAAATCAGAAAGCATTTGACAGTACCACCCCATAGCCAACAGTGGTTGAAAGTGATAAGCCTTGGCTGAACAGCCAAGTGAAAAATTCAGAAAGAGAGGGGATGGAAGGCTGGGAAGGGAAGAAATCACAATGCAGTGTGTAACGGGTGTGTGGGCAGCCCATTGGATTAGTCAGTGGGTTTGACGTTACACTCGTTACAAAGGAATTTATTTGGATTTCAGGTCATGGTTTCATGAGTGGAGCACATAAGCCACCAACTTGAGGAAACTTACATGTGGGATAAAGAATTCAATCAGAGACATCTGAATACAAATCAGATAGTTCCTTTATTTATACACTGTTGAACAGTACATCTATGTCAAAACTCTCAAGGTTGTCTTGAGATAACACTACTTCTAAATCATTGAATTCTTCGTTTTCAAGTTTTAGATGTTCATTAATAAGACCTTCTATCACATTCAATAACAGATACAATATTAGTTAAGTTATCAATCAAGTTAACATGAGAACTTTTCTCAGTCATAATCTGTATAACTGCATTAAGAAGACATTGTTGAACATTAAGTAAAACATTGTTAGACTAGATCAGAATAGCATAGTTACAAGGAGTTTGTGCAGCAAACTTCTGTATTACTGCCATTTTCAGTCTTCTGGAGTCAGAACAAGTCCTCGGAGTAAGAGAGAGAATTTCTAAGTTGGAAACATGAAATCATATAAAAAATTTTGGGTTTTTCCAATTTTTCAAGAAGTTCAGCAGATCTTCTTTTAAAAGTAGTTCTTCTAACTCAATTGATACAAGTGGACTATACCATCAGACTGTAACCAAAACCCACTTTGTCATTGGTCCTTACAGAACTTACTTCTGTCCATTATCTGATATCTTTAGCGAAATTATCCAGGATGATTGATTTAGAGTGTACAGAGACAAACCATGTAAACTTAGGTTTTTTTCATTAATATTAATCCACTCATTGGTTTTCATCACCATCCAGTTAACTGTTTTTTGTGATATTCATGTGTTTTATCCAAACAATTGCAGTTTTATCTCAACATACCACACCTGTTCAGGATTAGAATTCATAGATGTGAATTTTTGCACCTCTAAGGTTAAGACTTGGAATGTGTCTCCAGCTAACTCATGTAATGGGCTTCAAGCTTGTCTCTTCTTTATTTGGTATTATGGATCACTGGTTTTTTATAACATTCTTTGAGCTGCTGCTTTCCCTATTATGCATAAGATAAAAGTGTACTTCTTGAAAATTTAAATATTTAATATTCTGAATATCTGTATTCCACAAATACTTCAAGAGACCAACTACAGAATATGTGCCATTTTCATTGATAGAAAAAGAGGAAGGAAGAACAAATAGAATGAGAAAGAAGTCTACACATGAAGACAATCTGAAGCATCGTGCAAGGGATAAACATGGCTGAAGGAGTAGGGATCATGAAAGAGGAAGAGGAGGAAAGGACCAAAGAAGATTCAGCTGAAGAAATCACAGCAGAGCCAGCCAGCCAGTACAGAGCTATCTAGAGGACTCGACATGGAGTGTTTGGAATCAGGGAAAGCACACAAGGGAGAAGACACATAGGAGTCTATGCCAGAGAAATACATTAGACAAGTCCTGACCGACCGCATCAACAGCTAGAACTAATGAGGAACAGGGTACCAGGAATAGGAAGTGTAGTGTCAAATGAATGGCAAAAACATCTAGAAGAGGAGTGCACTGATGAGAGCACAGCTACAAGAACACCAGAAGATTGAGAGGCTATTCCGTAGGTAGTATTTTGTTGGGTCTCGAGAGACGACCTATGATGAAATGTGCACAACACCTAGAATATGACAAGCAAGGAGATACATGTAAAAGAAAAAAGAGGTTGAGAGTATGGAAACAAAAAGAGTGAGATTGGATGCCTACCCATGGATTTCTTGGGAACCACAAAATCTGCAGGAGCAGAAAGTGTTGGAAAACGAAAATTCAATTATATATACTTTCACAACAGGTAATATCTTCGTAGATAATTCCACTAAAAGATGCCGATATCTGAAAAGTTCACAAGGAAAAAAGGGACAAGTCAATACATGTGAGTATCAAACTGAGTATGATGTGTTGTACTTCTATTGGTGGAGGGTTGTTACATGTTTATTTGCATGCTACAGTGCAGCAATAACATGAGAAAACATGAGTTTAGGTGGAAGCCTCAAGGCTAGTGGTGAGTGAAAAAATTGTGCATATAGAGGGCAGCACAAAATCGGGTAAAGCTAATATGTGAGGGGAGGTAAGGTATTGTATCAAAATTATCAAAACACCTATTTCACTTTCTCTGTGTACCTACCATACAGATAAATTACCTTTACATTAAAATCCTTTACACCTGTCCTACTATTTAAATGCAGAAAGGATTATTTTGATTTGTTAAAAAAATAACTTTGACAAGCACAAATAATATCGGTTAAAAATGATAAAAGGAAAGACAATTGTAACAATTGTTTATAATTAAGCACAAAGCTACACAATGGGCTATCTGTGCTCTGCCCACCACGGGTATCGAAACCCGGATTCTAGCGTTGTAAGTCCGCAGACATACCGCTGTGCCACTGGGGGGCAAAAGGAAAGACTAAAAGCATTAAGAAAGAAGAGTCATAACAGAACTCACCATTTCTTCCAGTACTGCAAGTTCACTGTCATTTGAATGAGCGCTACTACACATGAAAAGAAAATAACAAATGAATATTAAGTAAAGACAATATACACAAAATAATCCTGTGTCAATTTAAACATGTAAAAATTTATACAAAAAATTATAATAACATTAAAAGTAAACTTGATAAAACGGAGTAAAATTTAATGAAAGTACAACGTTTCACCAGGTTAACCTGGCATCATCAGGTGCGTCAACTACAATGAATGCATTGAAACAACAAATATATATAATAATACAAGGGTACATTGAACTTTGATTGGATAAATTTAACAGTAAGGTATGATATTTCTGGAGGGTGTTTATTGATAGGGCTTGACTTCTTGACCCTCAAGATTTTTCATCACTGTTATTATTACTTTAATGTATTATGATTTATTTTATTACTTTTGTAGTGTTATTTCAGTGGTCTTTATATTGTCCTACTGAATGCTCATTTCGTTGTAGCAATGATATGAAAAACTACCAAGAATTTGAAGCTAATACAAACTATACATATATAATACAGTATACGGTCTTAGCCAATCAATTAACATATCACTACACATGAACCTCAATAAACTAATGAGTTTGAAATTCAGGTCAATAGCAGTGAATTATAAGCAGTACTAGGTGAAAAAGAAATGACTTTGAAAAACATCTTTGTAAAAAAATAGATGAAAAATATATGTTTAAAAAAAGAAAAAAAAAGGAAGAGAGAGAGAACAGGTCATGGTTGAAAGATCATGACAATCACGCAAAAGCTAAGATAATGTATTTAACGACAACCTAACAGAGAAAAACCACAATGTAGGTATGTATTGCCAACAGAAGAAATGGTGTCTTTTATAAACAATTAAAGAACAAACAACATGGAAACACTTACAAAGCTGAAAGTATCTTTTGTTCTTTTAAACTCTTTTCGAAAAGTTCTTTTAGAGAGACCTGTATGAAATATGAGAATTGATTCTAAATTATCATCATAAAAAAAGTTGAAACTTTAAACATATAATTTTGTATAACAAAACACACACACACACACACACACATATATATATATATATATATATATATATATATATAT